ACGGCGGCGTGACTGCCCCCGCTCTCCACTCAGGGCCTTATTAACCTCACTGATCCTCCCTCCCTCAGGGTTCCGAGCCACGGAGAGTCTGTTACAACTGGTGCTAGCTCATTCATTCAACAGATATTCTGGGGCACTTACCATTCACAGGTAATAAATGATCATTCTAGCTCATCTTTTGTGGCTAATGCAAGAGACGGTTTAAAAACCAGTTTGGTCATTAAGAAAAAAAAAAAATAATAACACCCTAAATGGGGAAAGATGAACAACCGAGAGAAAAGAAACGTGGCATCGTGTCATTAGCTTCGGCTAACTGTCAGCGGATCACAAAAGGCCGGTGACTCCCTTATTACCTTTAGGGGCTGTCTTCATCTAAAACGCAAGGTTTCTTCTTCAGGGAGGGTATTTTTCAACTCTCTCTCCCTCTCTCATGGACTCAGGCCCAAGTCAGTATCAGGAAAATGTCATGTCTTGTTTATCCAAATAGCCATGCCTGTTCTGCGCCACCTCACTGCCCGGAGGGACTCTGATCCAGGAAGCCATGCTGGTCCAAGCTCGGGGCCTGGGGGGGACCGGGATGGCCTGAGCAGGGAGGGGCCTGCCCCTATGGCATGAGCGAGGGGCACCCAGGGGCACCCAGGGGCGCCGTGGGGCAGGGCCGTCCATCGGTGAGCAGACTGTCGGTATTCTTTATCTTCTACATTTCTGATTTCCACCAAGAGTCTATATAAGACTAGTTTTCAGTCCGTGCTCTGAACTAAAGCCAGTTTATAATGCCTCGTTTTACTGCTATAGAGTATTTCGAACAGCCTTGCACTTGAGAAATAAATCACCGTCTACTGCCTTCTACTGCATGATAAGCATTATTTCTATGAGAATTTTTTCACAGGAAAAGAAAACAGAATGTTGATTTTGTGATTTTACCAAATATATAACCACCCACATTTAAGTTCTTAATAAACTAAAGCTAGACAGAACTATGCTATAAAATGACAGTCAAACATGGGGCCAGGCAGGTGGCATGGTGGTTACATCGCTGGACTCCCACATGGCTGACCGTGGTTCAAGTCCTGGACCTGATGGCTTGAAAATCATGCCGGGCATGTGTGCGTGCATGACCAAAATCCAGAAAGGAGAATGGAGAAGGGATTGCGGTGCAGCCATCCCCGCGGGAGGTAAAGGATCACTTGCCCTCTCTCTGTTTCTCTCCAGCGAGTACATGTGCCCTAAGAGAGAGAGAGAGAGAGAGAATCAAACTTAAAATTTCAGTAAAGAGGCCCAGCAGATGGCATAATGGTTACATTACTGGACTCCCATAGTTGACCACAGTTCAAGTCCCACACCCAGCGACTTAAACCTCACACTGGGCACGTGTGCACGGATACCCAAAATCCTGAGGGGATTGTGGCATGGCCATCTCCCTTGGGAAGTTATTTCTCACTTTCTGTCTCTTTGGCAAGCACACACACCCTCTAGTAAAAATTTCTCTTAAAAAAATTTCAGTAAAAAAAAATTATTTTAGGTTTATTTCTTGCACGAGTGAGAGACAGAGACAGACAGAGACAAGAACCTTCAATTGACCTAACACTGCCCTACCTTCCCAGACAGCCAGGGCCATGGGCACACGTACCCAGCATGTGCAGGCGACTGGGGACCTGAACTTGTGACCTTCCATAAGAACCCAGCATTGCTTGAGCAGTGCACCAGTGCCACACCACCGGGCTGGCCCAGGAAGCATTTTTAAGGTATTTCCAGACCTGTACTCTGCTTTTACAGTGCTGTTTTCTCTAAAAGAGTTTTGGTCGACTACTCGATTTGGTTAGGATATAACTGCGGAACGGAACAACAGCAGGTGGGCCCTGGCTGGGAGAATAACAAGAAACAGCACTTACAATGCAGAACCATAGACAAGGCATACATACAGAGCTGAGATATTTTATCATGAAACGTAAGAAAGCAAATTTATTTGTCAGTATTTTCAGATAGGCCAAGGTTACTTCTTCAAGTATAGGTCTCTGACTGAAGTTCAAAGTCGTCTTTTTTTTTTTTAACTTTATTTATTTATTTATTTAAATTTGACCAGAGAGGGACAGAGTATGTGTTCATGTGTGTGAGAGAGAGAGAGAGGGAGAGAGAGAGGGAAAGCAAACCGCCAGGTCTGGGACTCAAACCGTGGTTGGCCATGTGGGAGTCCAGTGCCCTTAACCACGATGCCACCTGCCGACCCTGAAAGTCATCTTTTTATTTATTTATTTATTTATTTAGGTTTTTTTGGTCATAGGATACTTGCACTTGTGGGAGAGAGACAGAGAGACAGCGAGGGAAAGTGAGAAATCGCCCCTCCCTTCTCAGGGGGATGGCCACACCACAATCCCTTCTCCATTCTCCTCTCGGGATTTTGGGCATGCATGCACACATGCCCAGGATGACCTCAAGCCACTGGGTTGAGGACTCAAACTGCCTTGGCCATGTGGGAACCCAGCACCGTAACCGTCTTGCCACCTGCTGGCCCCCAAAGTTACGTTTCTTGCCAAAACCACGCTCGTAATACAAAATCGATCATTTCCTGTTTGGGCGACCCTTTAGCTGAGAGAAGCCTCGGTGTAAACCAGTCTAAGAGTAGAATCTGTCCACATTTTAGACCTCTCTCCCGGTCACTTAGCGTTCTCTCTCCCACAGCTCAGGGGCAGCAATACCTTAGAGCAACCTGCCTTTATTTCATCTTTCCAAAGAATTCGACTTCGCAGAAACAGGCAGCTTCCCTCCACACACAGATCTCTCATTGGCTTCCACGTAACTACTGAAGTAGGGAATTAGGACAGTGATGCACATGCGTCGGCAATGGGAGGGGAGTTCCGGGCTTTCGAGGGCACCCTGGAGGCAGCCAGCCAGACAGAGCGCTCAGTGGGAGTGGGTGGAAGTTAGTGCACTCCCCACGCAAGAGGGAAAGTGCTGGCATTCCATGGACCCACTCAGATCGGCTAAGGGCCTGCCACTGGGTTATAAAAAGAAGCCATGTCAGCCAGGTGGCATGGTGGTTAAGGTGCTGGATACCATAGCCAACTCCACAGTTGGAATCCCAGATCCGGCAGTTTGAAAAGCTCTCTGGGCATATGTGCAGGTGTGCCCAAAATCCAGAGAGGAGAATGGAGGAGATGGGATTGCAGCATGACCATCCCTCCTGGGGGTGACTTCTCACTCTCCCTGTCTCTCTGTCTCTCTTTCTCTGTCTCCATTAAGTACACATGCCCCATGGCAAAACTTAAAGAAAAAAAGAAAAGCTAGCCTCTCACATAAAAGGGTATGTTCAGACAAGGTTATTCTTTTTTTTTTTTAGTTTATTTTTTATTTCTTCTATGAATGAGAGACAGAGACTGAGAGATAGCACCCCCAGGGGTCTTGGTGCCATGATCCACGCCCAGCCTTGGCCAGCCCAGACACAGCCACGCCCATGCCAGTGTACCGAAGGAAGGCTCTGGGCGAGAGCTGGGAACCTGCCCACGTGGGCCAGCTTGGCAGAGAACTGCACCTCACAGCTATGCCACTGTCTGGTCCCCGAGGGTTAGTCTTGTTTAAAGGCACTGTCAGTTACGTCCAGGGAGGGTCTTTCTGCCACATCCCTTGTGGCAGAAGTGCCGTAGTCCTTCTGTCTGAGAACGGAGGCAGGCACTGCCCTCTACAGAACCTAACGTCATCCCCAGCGTTTCGTCTGCAGAGTATCCGCGCTGGGAGATAAGCCGTGCTAGACAGGCAGGTAGAAGGATGGCGAGTCTCTAGGAAACTGACAGAGACTTGCAAATAGACTCTCCCTTCCTGCTCTCCACCCCTCAAAAAAGGCATCGCTCCTCTCCTACCTAAGACCATTACAGCGGACAGAATACTGACTCCTGCCACAGACCCATCTTTCTTGCTGCTATTATTTGGAGACCTCTGAGTGTGTCATTCATCCTCCATTTTGCCATAGACCCCACTACGCCTGATCCTTGCACACCTGCCTGACCCCACTGGACAAAGCACTGGCCCAGCCAGCTACACAATGCCACCATGACTTGATTCTGGACGAAAACTCCAGGCAGTCTCTGGCAATACCAAGGGTGATTGCAGAGCGAACATACTCACCTCGGCAGAAGTACCCAACCACACACCTAATGGAAGACCGGAAAGCTCACTTACCGTGACTGAGAAGTGGTAAGAAATGACCGCGAGCCCAAGGCTCACAGGCCTTAGCATCCCTAGGGACCTGCGGGAATCTTGCTGAAATGCACATCCTTGGAGCCCTGTCCCTTCAGATTCAGAGTCAGTGGGTCCGGGAATGGAGACCCAGGAGACCCTCAGTGGCCTGCTACAAAGGCTGCAGTCGTAGAGATGTTCATTAGAGCTGTGAGCCCTGACCCGGCCAAGCTCCGGGCACGTTCCACGTGACAACACGATCCTTGGAATAACCCAGGAGGTGGGGACTATATAGCCCCATTTCACAAGTGAAGGAATTGGAGAGGAAGTTGCACCTACACAGCTCATATGGGGAAGAGCCAGGATGAAACACCAGGCTTCCTGGTTAAAGAACTCCTGCTTGGGACCAGCAGATGGCATAATGGTTACGTCGCTAGACTCCCGCCTAGTCAACTGTGTGCTTCGAGTCTCGGACCTGGCAGCTTAAAACTCACACGGGGCGCGTGTGCCATGTGTGCCCCAAATCCCAAGAGGGGTACAGAGGAGAAGGGATTGTGGTGTGGCCATCCTCCCAGGGGTGATTTCTCGCTTCCTGTCTCTCTGTCTCTTTCTGACTCTCTGGTGAGTGCACATGCCCTATAGCAAAAACCTCTCCAAAAATAAATAAAATTTAAAAAAGGACTCATACTCACCCACCTCCCCATCCTGCACTACCACTGTGGCCGAAAGGGCCCTGTAACCATTCACGCAAACCCCTCAGGTCCCATCTAACTCAGGTGAGACCCTTTACCCTCTCCCAGGAATCGCCATGGTCACACTCGTCATCCCTGTGGTGACAACCGGCCGTGCCTTTCGTGGGTTACAAGTGAGAAACTGGAAGAAGTGGCAAAAGAGGCGTGGCCAGGAGGAGTGTTCTGGTGCCGGCTCTGAAGCAGGATGTGACGTTTCAGGTGAACTAAAGGGGCGCCCTACACGGTGCCGGCTAAAGGCAGGGAGGGAAAGACGACCGACAGCCTTGTTAACGACACTAAGCCTGTTCCAGCCCCACGCCTACAGTCACCCACGTCCACACTGGCTGGGCAGAATTCAAATTCTTTTTCAAGAATTACTTCTTTAACTTTATGTTTGTTTTTCAATTTGTTACAGGGCCAATGAGTTCACCAGAGAGAGAGAGAGAGAGAGAGAGAGAGAAAGTGAGAAAGCAGCCTCCAGGTCCAGGACTTGAGCCACAGTCAGCCATGTGGGAGTCCAGCGCCCTAACCACCACGCCGCCTACTGGCCCTGCACAGACCACTTAAACTTGCCACTGAAAGCATGATCTATAAAAGGAAAAACTGATACATTAATTCGCATCAAAATGAGAACATTTTGCTCTATGAAGATCTACGTGAAGTAGATGAAAAGACAAGCCACAGAATTTCTGCACACCACTTGCCTGACCAGGGACTCGCGTCCAGAAGAGTGAGGAACTCGAAATTCAACAGCATAAAAAAAAAAAACGCAAATAACCCACTTAGAAAAAGGATGAAAGACATGGCTGGATATCTTACTGAAGAGCTACAGAAGACAAACAAGCACCCGGAAAACTGCTCGCCACTGCGAGCTATCAAGGAAACACAAACTGAAACCACAATGGCGTGTCGCTGCACGTACGTCAGGAGAGATGCAGGTGAGGGTGCAGGGAAACTGGACTGCTTATACATTGCCGGCGTGTAAGACAGGGAGGCGTGGGCAGTGGCCAGCAGTAAAATGCGATGCCCTGCAAGGCTGACCGCATAGGAAAGTGCCCAGTTTGCCTCCAGAGACCTCCCTGAGTGCACTGGGCATGCGTGTGCTATGATCTAGGGCTGGCTGAGGCAGGGGATGGATCACAGCACCAATGCTCTGCTGGGGATGCTGTCTCTCAGTCTATGTCTGTCTGTCTGTCTCTCTAGCACTCTCTCTGGCTCATTGAAGAAATAAGCACACTTAAAAAAAAAGAAATGTTCCTTGGGGTCAGCAGGTGGCATGGTGGTTGAGGGTGCTGGACTCCCACATGGCTAGTCGTGGTTCGAGTCCCAGACCTGGTGGAGTGCTTTCCCACTTTCCCTCTCTCTCTCACACTCTGTCCCTCTTTGATCAACATAAATAAATAAAATAATTCTTAAAAGCAAATTCCTAAAGGTCATTGAAAAATGATGCATTTTTTATTGCATCATTTTTATTTATTTACATTTAATCACTGTACTCTTCTGCAGCATCCAACATATGCTTTTTCCCAGCACGAATACAGTGCATAAAGCCAAAGACATCACCATATACATTATCAACAGATCATTTTTCCTTTTTGGGTCTATTAAATATTGTGTTTGTTTGTTTGTTTTTTCCCGATCCCCTCCCTCCACTATTGAAAGTGGTAACAATGAGTACAAAATGGTACAGCCACTCTGCCACTCTGTTTCTTCATAAACTGAACACGTAACTTCTACACAACACAGCAACAGACCTAGTGGGCACTTATTCCAGAGAAATGAAAACTCACATTAACACGGAAACCTGCATACGAATGCTCACGACAACTTTATCTGTTAAAGCCAAACACTGGAAGCAGGCCAGATGTCTTTCGGCAGGTGAACAGTTAAACCAACAGTGGTATATCCAAGCTGTGGAGTACCACTCAGCAGTACAAAGCAGTGAGCTGACACCGGCGACAACTTGGGTGACTGCAGGGAATTACGCTGAGTAAAAAAAGCCAGTCCCAGATGGCCGCATTCGGAGTGGCTCTCCTTGCATAACATTGTTTAAGTGACAGCGTGTGAGAGCTGGGGAGGGAGGGGTGGTCACGAGGGAGTGTAGGGAGGATGAGGGCAGGGCTGGACAGAAGAGGTCTGCTTACAGAAGGTCAATGGGCGGGGCATCCTTCCTAGTGCTGAGGTCATTCGGTCTCTTGACCATGGTGGTAGACATACAAACCTACGAAGTGGCAAACGTTATAGAACTCAACACGGGCACCCACAAAGAGCACAAGGAAAACTGGGGCGATCTGTGGAGCATATCTATGTCAATCCCCTGATTGTGATGTTATATGTAGTTCTGTCTGACGTCATCATGGTGGTGCTGGAGAGAGAGTACAAGGGGTCTCTCTGTATTCTAACAGCACATACATCAATTTTTTTTTTTTTTAAGTTTTGCTAGAAGGGGCAGAGGGAAAAGAAAGAGAAATCACCGACCCCCGCCCCCACCAGCAGAGATGATCACACCTCAATCCCTTCTCCATTCTCCTCCGGGGGTTTTGAGCACACATGCATATACGAGATTTCTTTTTTTTAAGTAAGTTTCCACCTTAGAGTTCATGTGCTCACTGGAGAGATTGAGGAACAGAGACAGTGAGAGGGAAAGTGAGAAATCACCCCCAGGGGGATGGCCACACCACAATCCCTTCTCCTCCATCCCCCTCCCAGGATCTTGAGCACGCACACACACACACACACACACCTAATGTGACTCCCATGCCACCAGGTCCAGGACTCAAAATGTGGTCGGCCATTGTGGGAGACCAGCAGTGTAAACACCACGCCCCCTGCTGGTCCCATACACGTGATTTTTTATGACACTGGGCTCAAACAGCACCGTCAGCCATATGGGATCCAGCTGCCTTAACCTCCATCACCTTCTGGACCATGACAATAAAAATGTAAAGACAACAACAAAAGGTTCATGCTCTCGAGTGTGTAAGTGAAATCAGATGCCGCATTCTTTCGCAGGGACTATAAAGTGACATTCCTCTCTGGAGGACATCTGGCAGTGCCATCGAAACTGAGAAGTACACGCATCCCCTTTGATCCAACACCACCATTTGGGGCTTAATAACTGTATTAAGTTGCGATATGGCACACATATAATGATGAAAGCATTTATTTTTGCAGATGTTTATACATACATTTTATACATA